AAAGAGAGCGCTTTGCTGTGATATATGTTTGGCAAAAGCCCTCAAATATTTTTCTCAGTTTTATATTGTGTGTTTTTTTATTGAGCACCACACAGAAATTGTAGCAGACTGATTCTTTCACAGCTCCCCAAAGTTGAAATGCTTTGGAGCCAAGAGCTCAGTGCCTGCCAAACTTCATAATTAACTTTAATAACTCTTTAATTTGAACTTTAATTCAAACACCCATGTTTCTGGGGGACCATGGGGGGTTGGGGGGGGGAAGCAAAGCAAACCAAGGGAAACCAACTCTGGTGAAATAAAGCAGCAGCCTCAAGCTTGTGCTGTGCCAGAGGCAACTGGAGATCAACTGTCCTGTCCTGGGTGCAAGCAGATGGAGAAGCATTGCCCCAGCCTGGTGGGAAGCAAAGGAGAAGACATCGCCGTTGGATGCTGGGAAAGCACTGGGCTCAAAGCTGCCTTTGCTGCCCCGGTCGGGAGGTTTTCCAAGGCCACCTCTGGGGATGGAGGGACTGAAGCCACTGGGAACACCACCAGCTTGGAGTTTTATCTGAACTTGGTGACAGTGAAGGAGAAATTAAAAAAAAAGACTAAAAAACACCCCAGATAAATTTGCCCTAATGGAACTCATTTTACATGTGAAACAATGACAGAAGTTAGCTTCTTTTTCCTCATACAGGGAGAAGGAAAAAAATGTATAGTCCTGGGTCTGTTTGCTCAGTCAATGGTTTCTAATGGCTCTGTCACTGCCCATGGGCCGTGTTAGCTGGGCTGGGAAGCACCGGGAGAGCAGGAGGATGAGGAACCCGAAGAGGAACGTTAATGCAACTTCTCTTCCCTGGTCGACAAGCCTCAAGCTGTCAGACTGTGCACGCAGCCCCGAAGCACTGCCAGCCAAATCCCTGCATTAACCCACCCTGGCTGAGCTCACAGTGAGGGGGTCCTTCAGGAAAAGGCAAATCATTGACAGAAGGAGCAGGAGACAAAGCAGAACCAAGTAGGGAAGGGACATGACAGACCCTGGGAATGCATCCACAAATTTGGCAGGGCTTCAGAGCTGTCAGCCCAAGCCTCCAAGGAGAAGTCAGGGATTAATAGGGATTTATGTCTCAAGATGGTCTGCTGTGGGTTGGAGGACAGCAAGAAGCATCCTCCTGCTCTGCAGGACCCTGTGGATTCAGCCTGATTTGAGCCAGGGACAGCCTGAACCGGGGTGACTTTTCATCGTTTCACAGCAAAGAGGTGGCATTAAGCCTGACCCAGCACCCAATCAAGGCAGGAATACTTTTTTTTCTTTTTTGTTCCTTCCAGGATCTTGTTTATAACAATAATAAAAAAGAGGAAGCTCCCCTAGCATCATGCCATGGGAATGCCACCTCCCCTGCAGCATCACCCCCTGCCCAAGGCCACCACGTTGAGCGGGGCTGGAGGGGGATGCCATGACTTGCTGCTCAGAAAAAAGAGCTGGGCAGCATCCCGCTGGCGTCCGCTGTGATGAATATACCGATAAAGAGATTCAGATCAATGAGCCTTGCAGTTTCTACCAGCAAATGAATGGCTTTCAGTCTATGGGTTAGAGAGTTGTTAACTACCCAACCTGCTCACTGTCATTAACGAGCAATCTCTGCCGTGAATCTGCTCACCCCGCTTTATCCACCAACCCATCTCCTGCTCCCTCATCCCTGCATCCACCTGGAGCCTTTCTCCACCCATCCCTCATAAACAGGCTCTGGCATCTCTGTTGAGCCAGGCTGGACCCAAAAAGCGAGGAGGGGGAGGATTTCATTTCCCTATGTCTAAGCTGCTCCTGTAATCCTGCAAGGAGGCTTGCTTTGAAGCTCTGGCACAGCTCAGTGCAGCTGGCTCACAGCCACAATTACTTCCACTCCGAGCACACGCAAAAAAGCCAAGTGAGAGGCCAAGGAGTGGGTAGTTAGCCTCGAACGCCAACAAGTCAATCAAAGGCAGCCGGTGCTAATTAGTCCCTGTGCCTCCCCCCATCACGGCTGCCCCATTATGCAGGGACAAGAAGTCTCTCTGGGAGTCAGCCGGGGCCACCCAGGAGCTGCTGGAGAGCCCACACGCAGAGGAGGATCTGGGGGGGGGTGGGGGGTGCTGGTGGGGGGTTGGGGGGGGGGGGGGGGTGTCAAGGTATGAGAGTGCAGCCCCAAATCGCTACTTATGGAGCATCAATCCCACCGCTCTTGCTCCATCCCGTTGTCATCTCAGGTGCCCTCCTTCTTTCTGTCTTCTGCAAGCATGGCCAGAGCCACCACGGGAGCCAAGGGGAAGGAGGAGGCCATCCCACCACGCAGTTATTTCCATTTTTCTTGCTTTTCCTAAAGCCAGAAAAAAAAAGAGAGAGCCTACCAAAGGAGTCCCAGCTGCCTGCTCACAAGAAGCAGGCATTAAGCAGGGAGCCAAGAAGAAAAGTGCAGCAGAAACATTGCAGTAATATGGAATAATAACCCTGCAAATGCTGCGAGGCGGCTGAATAGTGATATTTTCTGGAGTAGTATGGTATTGTAGGAGAGAAACCAGTAAACAAATATTTTCATTCAGCAACAGGGGAAGGGGAGAGGCACGGCTGTTCCCCTGGGAGACGGAGAGGAGCTCCAGAGCAGGAGAGTCATTAGAAGTAAGGGACAGCAATTGCTCAAGATTATGGCACTGGCAGATACTGGCAAAGTAAGACTCAGCAAGCGGCCCCGAGCATGGCTCAGCTGTGGATCGCAGCTGAGCACTGTGCTGCTATCCTCTCCCACCCCCCAAAAACCAAATCACTGGGGTATCACACCCACCCTGCCAGGTCACCTCCCATGGCTTGGAGAAGATCCCACATGGGTAGGTTGGAAGCATCCACCAAAAGCCATCAGGACATTTTCCCTACCACCCTGCACCTCGTGCTTGCCACAGCCAGCATGCCCTAGCATGGACCGGCTTTGAAACCCCAAGTCCAGACTCTACGGGGTCTGCACTAAATGCAGCTTGGGAGATTTGGCTTTAAGTAGCTTGTTGGAACCACTCAACTCGCCACTCCTTCTCACCTCCATTTCGCACTTATAGGAACTGGTATGAGTATTCAGTTAGGGTCAAACGGGGTTGATATCCCATCTCCTCTTGCCACCAAATGTCCCAGAACAAGGAGCACGTGGTAATGTAGCGGAAAAAAAAAAAAAGCTGGCAGATGTGGCAATTTACACCTCTCCACATAGTGGCCCTTCAGGGCAGGTCCTGTCCAAATGGGTCACCCAGCACTCAGGGGTTTTAAGTCCTTGAGGTTTTAAGTCCTTCTTAACGCACACGGTCCCATGTGCTTATTCATAGTCTTCAGACCTGTATGAATGGCTAAGCCCTCTTAGAGTCTGAATACAGTTATTAATGGTACTAAATACAGATTTATTAAAGTTAATTATGAAGTAAGGCTGGACACTGCAAGAGCCGTGTCCTGGCTTTGAATAATACCTAAAACCCACAACTTCTTGGAGCTTTGGTAAAGTTTCTGGTAATGCAGCAAGGAGGTCTTCAGCTCTTTGCATCTTTTTACCAGCACTGTAAAGAGCTTGTTGACCAGGTTTAATGTGCCTGCTGCATCTTTTGCACTGATGGTGCAGAAGCAACCACAAAGCACATCGCCAGCGTTCATCAATCTAAGTCCTACAAACCCAACACAGGTAGGGAGCCACAAACACGTCAACTTACGTTCCCTCCTAAAATGCTATGAGAAATCCAATCGAGCATTTGCACCTATTAACTGGAAATATTTAAGTAGCTGTCCCAACACCAAAGCAGTGCCAGGGCTCAGCTGAGAGCCTCTAACCACAGCACAATGTGCCCTCCAAGCAGCCACGCTCCAGCAATTCCTCTTGGACTGCAGGCAAACTACCTCCTGCAAAGAAAACTCAAGGCAAATGGTATCTTTGGGTGCAATGACATTGCAGGCACAGCTTCGCCTGCCCATTAGCACTATCCTGTGATGGACCATGCAGTGATTCCTCATGGCAAACCAGTTGGCCTTAAGTATTGGTCAGCACACAATAGTTCCAACAAGAGTAATGGGGGCAGATCCATCCCCAGCGCAACTGGGCTGGCACTGGTGATTTTAGCCTGGAGATAAATGTGGTCCCCGGAGGCTGGATTACCACCTGGGGGCTCACGAATGATACCGGAACAAGTTGTGTTGTTCCAAATCAAGGCAAGGTTAACCCATAATCCAGAGCGTGGGCAGGGGGTGAAGCCACTTTAACGGGAGGGATTTGTCTACTCAGAGCATCAACCTGAACAAGCTGGAGCCTGCATGGTGTAATTTAATGGTGTGTAACATCAAGGCTGCCGTTCCTATAGCTACTGGAGGAAGCTTAGCAACCCTGGGCGCAACTCCTGGGGCACGGGAGACAACTGAAGGAGAGCACAGGGATGCATCACTGTCACCCATGCCTTAACCCTTTGGACCCTACACGCTGTACTGATGTGGCACTGAAAGTAGATCCCATACGGGGTGTTTCTCCTGAAAACATGTGTATTTCATGCTTTGTTAGTACCAGATTAACTGTTTCCTTTAAAAAAAAAAAAAGGCAACAAGAATCTGCCTCTGTCACTGTTCAAGGGCTACAGCAGGGTCTCCCCACCAGTCACGGGCTCCACTCGGGGCTGATTTAGGCTCCACCAAAGCCAGCAGGACTGTGTGTGGGTCAAGTCAGCCCCACATCTCTCTGGATGACTTTGCCAAGAAGGACTTGTCTCTCTACGCTGAGCACAGTTTCAGGGCTAACACTAACAATGCTCTTTTTCTTCTGTGTCCCCAGGTCGTCCCCACACTTGGCTGACCAAGGCTGGCTTAGAAGGCTCTTCCCTCTCCCAGGAAAATGGGGACTGACAGTGAAAACCCTGTCCTGAGGAACGTACTCATCAGCTTCAACTTGCTTCTACTGGGCACCGTCCTCAAGCCTTTTGAGTGCCGGCTGGAGGTGACAACGGAGCCGGCCGAGAGGCTGGCAGTGGATGAGGCACGTGGCCTTGCCAACTGCAGCCCACCCATCAAAGAGCAGCCCATGGTGTTCCACCACATCTACAACATCAACATTCCCCTGGACAGCTGCTGCTCGTCCATGTTCAAGTCTTCGGCCGAGGAGGTGAGTTCAGAAGACGACCGGCTGGTGGAGTACGCGGAGCAGACCTCCGACAGTGAGAGCCAGGTCACCTTCACCCACAGGATAAACTTGCCCAAGCACGCCTGCAAGTGCTCCACCTCCCTCCCATCCCTGCAGGAGCTGCTGAGCAGGATTGAGATGCTGGAGAGGGAGGTCTCCATGCTCCGGGACCAATGCAACTCCAATTGCTGCCAAGAAAATGCAGCCACAGGTAGTAATGCCATCCTGTTAGCTCTTGCTGGGGACTAAGGGCTCGAGTGAAAGGCAGGAGAAATAAATACAAAGCTGGTGATGCCACTCAGAGTGGTGACAGAGGAAAACCTGTGTTCACCCATGGCGTGGCTGTGGCTTTAGGGAAAAGCCCATCTTAGGTCCTCCAAGTCAGGAAAAACCCCAGGACGGGTTTGGTCACTTGAGCCCCCATGCCCTGCTTGCTGCAGAAACCCTGTAACAGCCAGAGCTAAAGCCCCGTTACAGATAAAATTACTGCTGGTAAGGCATGAGCAGGGTGATCTCCCAACCCTGCAGTCCTAGCAACGCTGTTAGAAATCTGCCACTGCGCATGGGACAGGGAGGAGAGATGTAGCTGCTGCTCTCCTAAGCTGTCCCTGGGCTGAAGGCAGCACCACGGGAGCCGGCAATAAACCCCTTCATCTTCTCTGCAGGAGGAGTGAATGTGTACGAAAAGCTGAGTTTTAAAAAAAAGAATAAAAAATAGAGGAAATAGCTTCTGTTGCCATGAAAGATGCAAACAAAACCTGTAACAAAGGCACAAAACCATCAACAGGATACTTCATCTGAATAACAATATGTGCAGTTTGTGAAGCTCTCCAAGAGCCCCCATTAGGGTTACCCCATCAAAGACGGCTCCTCATTTCACCATGGCCATTCCTCAGAGCCAGGGAAGCAGCACGCAATTGAAATGAGATGGATTAAGAAAGGTTTGGGCTAAAGGCTGCATTTCAACAGCACGGGAGCTAGCACACTGATGGTTTTCCTTACGTGTCGGGGAGGTTGGTAAGAGGGGCTGTCCCAAAGGGCATCCATCCCTCGCGCAGCCCAGCCCTGCTCAGGGCTCCGACACACCAGGGCTCCTCCTGGGAAAAAGCCACCAAGCAAGGAGAGCCACACAGGGCATCTTTCCAGGGGAAAACAGCTTTTCAGACCAAGAACAACAACAGGGAGGAAGAAAAATTAAAAGCAACCCTTTTCCCCCAGTGCCCGCTGCCTTTTTTTAAGTTTCGCAGCTATTAGTGTGATTTTTCTGGTGGTACCCCAACTTCTCTATGTTGAGGACATGTTAAAGTGAAATGGGAGAGACCCACACTCAGGTCAACAGAGTTGGACCAAGGGAGTGTGGGTTGGGGAGGAAGAAACCAGGATGGCACACTCAGCAGGGTGGCTCGGGCTGACATGTCCCAAGCAGCCAGTGGAAGTCACTGCATTTCCAGCTGCAGGCTCAGCCCGCATCCCCTCCCGATGCGACAGTCATCAGCTGCGTTAAAAAAAGATGAAACGGAAAACACCCACACATGCCACCAGTGTGTGTAAAGCAAGAGTTAAAATCATGTAGGAAACACAATGGGAAAAACCTGTTTTAAAGGAATTAATTTGAAACTCTGATGGGCCTATTTGGGTTACTTGCAACATACGCAGACAGTCCCATTAAAGATTCATTGCTTGGTGGAGTCTCCACTCTGATCACAGATGCGCTGAGCTAAACCTCAAGTAATTTCATTTATTTTTATGGGAGTTGCTTTCAATTCACTGCACCACAGAGGAGATCAGGATCCCTACCCCACCGCCTGAGGCATTTCCCCAAGGAAAGCCTCTCTTTTCCAGCACACTTACAAGCATCCTCTCCTCTTTTGATAACTTAACTAGAGGCTGAGTTCTGAAGAGAATCTGATTGCCATTCCCAGTATTTGCAGTTTAGATGGGAAGCATCCTGCAAAGTAACCCAAATGGGTCTGTCTGGCACAGCATGTAACTGAACCCCTTTTACATGCACTCACCATAGAAAGAGCTGCTCAGGTAGCTCAGCTAGGATGGAAAACTTAGTTGGGGGACAAAAAGTCCTGTGGCTTGGGGTCTTCATGGTGCAGAGGTTTCCCAATGGTTGGAGGAAGCACGAAAAGGGTTTCTGTTCTTCCTCAGTTCATAACCCTAAGCTGGAGCTGTGGGTCCATGTTGAGAGGCAAAAGAGGGGAACGTTGGCAATGTCAGAGTGACTGGTGCCTTCATCCCCATGCATCCCTCCTCACCCCAGAGCGTCCTGTGCAAGGCTGCCAGGTAAAGGGGGGACATCAGAGGTGGTGGCCACAGAGGCCGTGTGCTTTCCCAGCTTTCCCACAACCCCAGCATGCCCAAACCCATGATACTTTGTGCAAAGCCAATGGCTCTGTCTTAACCAGGCTCACCAGGACAGGGATGAAGACGATGTCTTTGGGTACATACCTGTTTCTTGTAGGAGAGAGAGCAAGCAGATTGGGACCTCTCACCTGTAACAAGGAACAGGAGTCATGGCTAGTGCAGAGGGCTTGGTCAGGGAAAGCTTTTTCCCAGTAAGAGGTCTAGGGAGGTTCCCATCGACTGAGCACTGAGCTGAAGAAAAACCAAAGGGAGCACTTGCACCCCAACAAGGCTGATGGCACCCATAGTCATGGAGGCCAGTGCTCCTGAGGGGACAGAAACTCCTGGGGACCCACCCAAGCCCCACCATGACTCATAGAATCATAGAATAGTTTGGGTTGGAAGGGACCTCTAAAGGTCATCTAGTCCAACCCCAATATCATGAGTCATATCACCAATTCTGCCCCTGCCAGACCTAAAGCCACCAGCTCCCCAGAGCTGGGCATGTTCAACCAGAGGGAGGACCATCTCCTACTTGCCCCACATCTTGCCCCTCTTCCCCACAGCCCATCGATGGGCTGACCCAGGGCCAACACTGACCTTTTTCTACCTCCAACCCGGTGGACTCTGACCCTCAGTCCTGCGTTCTTGCAGGGCAGCTGGATTACACCCCGCAGTGCAGCGGCCATGGGAACTTCAGCCTGGAGTCGTGCAGCTGTGTGTGCATGGAGGGCTGGGCAGGCAGCAACTGCTCCGAGCCCCGCTGCCCCCGGGGCTGCTCCAGCCGCGGTGTCTGCCTGGAGGGCCAGTGCATCTGTGACAATGACTACGGGGGCGAGGACTGCTCCCAGCTCCGCTGCCCCGCTGGCTGTGGCTCCCATGGGCTCTGCGTGGATGGCGAGTGCGTCTGCGAGGAGGGTTTCACCGGGGAGGATTGCTCCCAGCTACGGTGCCCCCGTGACTGCTCAGGGAAGGGCCACTGCGCCAATGGCACATGCATCTGCCAGGAGGGCTACGCCGGGGAGGACTGCGGGTGGCTGCACTGCCCCAACGCTTGCAGCAGCCGCGGGGTCTGCCAGGATGGTCTCTGCGTCTGTGAGGAAGGCTACGAAGGGCAGGACTGCTCAGCAGGTAGTGGGGGGCATGCATGGGGAGAGACAGACCCTAATGTATGAGGCTTCAAGGTGCCTAGAGCCCCATAGGAGTACCACGAAGCCTGGGAGAAACCCATACCCAGCAGAGCATGTCACACAGGACCTGCTCAGGCCCCGCAGTTTGACTGCCTCCCTGTTGTCCCTGTCCCCAGAGACGCCACAGGCAAAAGTTTGGGAGGTGAGCAAAAAGCCAGCGAGGTTCGTCCCAACATCAGTGGTAAACCCTTGGTGCAACAGAAACTGCAGTCAGATTCTCCTGAGCCTTTGCCTCGCTATACCATTTAATACAACCACAGATAGCACATAACCCCCAGCCCAAAGCCTATACCAGTGTCCCACCAGCAGGCCCACACACCCTTCCCCACAGCTGGGTGGGAGAATAAGCTACGCACACACTGACGCTCTCCTTACCTCTGCCCTTCCCATCAGTGGCTCCTCCCGAAAACCTGCGAGTGACAGGGATCAGCGACAGCTCCATCGAGCTGGCATGGGACAGCCCTGGGGCAGCCACCGAGTACGTCATCTCATACCAGCCGGCAGGGCCAGGGGGCAGCCAGCTCCAGCAGCGGGTGCCCGGGGACTGGAGCAGCATCACCATCACAGAGCTGGAGCCAGGCGTTGCCTACAACATCAGTGTCTACGCAGTCATCAGTGACGTCTTGAGCATCCCTGTTACCTCCAAGGTGATGACCAGTAAGTATCCTACTGCAGTTGTCGCTTGGTACCTGGATAACCAGAGGTGATGCTCAAGCTGGCTCACATTTTCCATAAAAACCTTCTAGCAGCAGAAAATTGAGCCTTCAAAAAAAAAAAATTGGGGATATATTTATCCCTATTTATATCTGTATGCGGATATAGGAAAGGGGGAAATGCGTCCACTCTCTGCATAAAGACTCAGTCTGGATGAAAACCCAAATGACTGAAAATCAAAGAAACTTCCAGTGTTTTACCGAAGCCCCCAGAATATGGCCCAAAATACCTTACACTTTTTTCCTCATAGAAAATATTGTGATATATCACAGAAGTCACAAGTTCTCCTCCCACTCCTGGATGAGTTCCCTGTGACGAATCCCAATGACATGGGCAATAGTGCAGCAAGAGGGGATGCTGCTGTGCATCAGGAAATACGTAGTCCTGACCGGGACCATGATGCACAGAGGAAAATGAGTATCAAGCTGTAATGGCAACCTCCTGAAAGGATCCTCAGAAACCAAAGATACAGAGGGCAGGGGGAAACATAAAGTACCCAGACACCCCTTTTGCAACCCCACCACTCTGTTTGCATGGTGCAGTTAGGTGCAATGCAAAGGGATGCTGTGGTGTCCAGCAGCCCAGGCATTTCCCTCCTCTCCCTCTAACCCGCCCGGAGTAGGGACAAAGGGGCAATGACTCTGCTAGCAGCTACGAAAAGGGTTCCATTTTCCTTGTCCAGATAATGAAATAGCTGCAGGGAGCAGGGTGAGGGCGGGCGGCACCCCGACACCCGTCCTGCTCTGCTCACCACCCCCTGCTCCCTTCCAGACCTCGCCACACCGCAGGGGCTTAAGTTCAAGACTATCACAGAGACAACGGCGGAGGTGCAGTGGGAGCCCTTCTCCTTCCCCTTCGACAGCTGGGAGATCAGCTTCATCCCCAAGGTACCGCCACCGCATGCATGGCATCGCGGGCTACACCCAGTCACCCTAAAAACACTGAGTGAGCGGATCCTAAATTAGCTTCCAATTACTCCCCCCAAAAAAACCCTGACCTCTGTTTGCAATTTGTGTGCTTCACATCAGACACCCTCAAACACCTCAACCTCAAATTGCCAGCTTGCATTTCCCCAGTAGTCTTTGGTGTCGAGGCATACTTGTCCTCAAAGAAATTCCCCAATAAAATCAAGAGACAAGCATATAAATAAGTAAACCTTCCAGCCTCACTGCCTCTTGCTGTCACCCCCTCTTTTTCCCTTCTATCTCCTTTGCTGTGACACTTCCTCCTCCTCCTCTTCCTCACCCCTTCTCTCTGCACGCTAAGCTACCCAAAGCAGCCTGGATCGAACTGAGCAGCCGCCGGCTCTCAGACAACAACTTTCAGCATCCCTGAGTCACACGCACAGCTAATTCCTGCCACAGAATTTTAATCGCAGCGATGAACAGGTAGAACTTGTGCCAGAAAAGATGAAAGGATGAAAATGTTGCCCTAAATATCACATATTTTCTATGCGCGGCAACAAAAATTGTACATCAAGTATTTCATTTATATTCATAATTTCTACACCATTTAGCCATAAGTATAGCATCAATTGTATATGGAGCCTCTTTACAAGAGCTTTCAAGCCCCAGCAGTAAAAGTAATGCTGATTAAGGGCTCAATTATGCCATTTTCACTTGTACAAAACCCTCGCTGGAGTCAAAGGCAGCTCTGGGCAGTGGAGAACTGCAGAACTTGGCCCCAAAGTTTTAAACGCTCTTAACTGTAAAGTATCATTACACAGCACGAAGCAAGGGCTCGATTGCTTAAGTAACTCATTCCTTCACTTCCAAAAAGGCTGGAAGGATCTGGGTACCATTTTGAGTACATCCATGCACAAATTATGTCAGAAGTTGAAGTTCAGGTACTGCAGGTATAAACCCCAGGGTAATTTTCATTCACCATGGGGATAAAAGCTGAAACAATAACACAATGTCAGGGAAGAGCTTTTGGTAGCAAAAAAATAGCTATCTTTCAAACATTTCACTGATACTCAAGAATTAAGCTCAACAGCATCCCTCTGAAGCAGATAAATAGGGATATATCCATTTCAGGGTGAGGAATTGCCGGGATAGCAGCAAACTTCTCCCCACCCGGTCATCAGCGATAGGTTTTTCTCACCTAAAAATAAATACAAACTGTTGGCCCTGTTTCTGTTTTTAAGCTTGAAACTTAAAACCATGCAGAAACATTTCAGGATTTAAAGGAAGAGATAAAGCGCAAAAGGATGGCTGTTCCTGGATGCAGGTTTTTGGGGTGGGGAAGGGATGTAGCTCACAGGGCTTTGAAGTTCTCTCATCCATCGGTCATGCACACGGTCCTGCACTACAAAGACACAGTCGTGCTCCTGCCCATCCGCTGCTGAAATTGGAATCTCTCAATTCTCCATCACCAGCTTTTCTCCTAAAATAAGGCAGAGGGTGCTGTCTCCTTCACTGCCTGGAAGCCATACTTGTTCGGGCAAACGCTAAACCATCGCCGCACTCCAGATAAAACCAAAACCTAGTCCAAGAGGCCTCAACATGAAAAAAACAGAGTTATAACAGCAGCATCACAAATAACCTTGATGAGTAAAATCAAGCTCGCTCTGTCTTCCTGAAAACCGAGCAAGAGGATGCTAATTTGGTCCTCAGCATCCCCGCGAGGATGCTTGCACCCTCCCACAGAGCAATCCTCCTTCCGTTTTCCCCGCGATGCTCTCGCCCCCCGAAAGCAGGGTCAGGCAGGGATTGCCTGTCTGCTGCGTGTGCTGGGGAGGGGGAGGGGAAAGATGAAGCAAAGACAGATTTAGAAAAGAAAATTAGGAAAGGTAAGCTGGCAATTTATGGCTAAAATGGAAGATTTCCTGTTAAATGAGAAAAGAGATGAATATGAATTGAGAGCTATGTGCAAAGATTTGTTTAGCGTGTTATTAGTGAAGACAGCAGCAAGAAAAGATCCTTTGTCCAAACACTGGCAGGAAAGGTGACATTTGCAGTTGCTTAAAGCCTTACAGTTTTTCAGAGCAAAACCACAAAGTATAATGAGTTTAATAAAGATACTTAAAAAGCAGGGGATGACAAAATAAAGACCTTACAGTTTCATACCTGTATATGAAGAACAGAAGGCTCCTGGCACCTGAATAGCAGGGAAAAGGAGTCCAGCCCTGGATTTGTTTTTATTGTCTTTTCTCTTCTGGAGAACAGCAGACACACAGATGGTAAATACAGAAGTGGAGGGGGGGGGGAAGAAGGGATGGGGGAGGATTTCTCAGCCCAGCAACATGAGTGCTCCACGCTTCACCCTGGGTTTCTGCACCTCCACGGTGGGATGTGCCAGGGCAAGGATGTGATTTGGGGGTGCAGGGCTGGGCATGGAAGGACGCAATGTGGGGGCACCTCCCCTCCATGCATCAGTCCCCCAAACCCACCTTTTTTTGTTTGTTTTTTTAATGGTTATTTCTGCTCCCCGACAGAACAACGAAGGTGGTGTGATTGCCCAGCTCCCCAGCACCGTCACCACCTTCAACCAGACAGGGCTGAAGCCAGGGGAAGAGTACACTGTCACCGTGGTGGCCCTGAAGGAACAAGCCAGGAGCCCTCCCACCTCTGACAGCGTCTCAACCCGTGAGTGAGCCCGGCCCCAGACAGCACGGCAGCGCCCAGGGCTTGGTCCCCAAAAAAAGGTCCCAGCAGCGAGAGTGGCCCGGCACTGCATGGGCAGGGATAAAACTAGCACCACCCAACTTGCCCAAGCTACAGGTGCATTGCAGCAACAGCTTCTTCATGCGGTATTTTGTCCCTCTCCCTCCTGAACTGCTGTGAGCACAGAAACCATGGCAAGGTTAATGGGGTTGGGAGCGAAGGCTCAGGTCCGCTTTTACTATATAGCTGGATAAATTCCTCTTCTCCGCTAATTTCAGATGCTGGATGCCCCCAGGAAACATCTCTATAAATGTATTGCCTACTCATATATAACAGATTAAAACTCCTGCCTGCTTTTGTGCCACTAAATGCCCTCTACTCCCACCAATTCAGGCAAATCAGGCAGCAGGGCAGGGAGCCAGGAGCAACAGCACGTCCCCTCCTAACCAATTTATTCGGCTGGTCACTGGTCCATCCCGTAGGCTAGAGGAAATTCAACCAGGTCTTCTCCTCACCGAAGGAGATGTGGCGATGGGCAGAGGTCATTGTGGAGAAGAGACTTTCCATGCCAGATCTGCTGCGGTCTGCCTTGGTAGCCAGGCAGACATCTACCTCCATCCAAGCTATTGCAAATGGAAACAGCATTTAAATAGCTGCCAGAGGATTATAACGAGGTGATACTCTCTCCAGGCTGCTAATTTGAGGCAACGGTGAGAGTGAAGGGAGGGTCCCTCCACCAGCAGCAGCTTGCTGCAGGTTTGAGCTTCCTCAGCATAGTCCTCTCCTCCTGCTTTGCCTGCACGCTCAGCTCAACATGGCTTAACAGAGACATCTCCTGGTCAAGCCCAAATCTTCCTTTCCCCAGGAAGTCAGCAAAAAATAAAAACAGAGGCTGATACTTCAAACTCAGTGGTTGACCTTTGCAGGGGAGCGCAGATGGAGTGGTGGGCTCCCAGCTCTCCGCTCTGTGAAGGCGTCCCCATGCTGGCGTGTCTGCCTTCCTCTGCAGCACGCCCATAGTTTTGCCCCATCATCCTCGTTCTGCCTCAACACTTTGTGCCAGGATCGAGCAGCAAAGCCATGGTTTCATGCTGCACAGGTAAGTAGAACTTGATGCTCCCCAAAATCACCTGCATGACTGGACAACATGAGGTAGTTGAAAAGTCAGGATTTGGATAAGCATGACCTGGTACTGGCCAAGCTGGACACCCAGCTCCTACCTAAACACCCTGCCTCCCAGCTGTCCTCCCTTCTTCGTTGCTGTTTGGCCCCCAGACCTCACCCCACTGCTCCCAATTCCCCCACATATCTTTTTCTAACCCTCCCTGGTCCTTCCCACCCCTGCCTACACACATCTCCCCCAGAACTTCCCACCCTGGGGTGCAGCATTTAGCACATCCTTATTATATAGTGTCATTTTCTAATATATACAGTATATTAGATGTACTTGCATGCAGTATAGCCTGAATTACAGAACCAGCATGGGTTTTTTTACCCACCTCGTGATCATATAAGTGATAAAACAGGCTGCCCAGCAGGCTCTGTGCATCAATGCTGCCATGGCACAGGAGCGATGGCCAGGCTTGGCCCGTCTGTCCATCCATGCAGCAGTTAGGTCCTGCTGGACTCAAAGCACCTATCACCTGGGCTTGAGCCCATGATTTCCAGCGGTCGAGTGGAGGAGAGAGGGGTCCAATTCTCTGTGAAAGAAAGCAGAAGTGTCCAAAATTGTCTCCCAGTAGATCCCTGGTATGAATTTATCTAAAACCCCTTTATATGAGAGGGTTCGGTGGACACCCACTGTAGACCCACACCCAGCTAGTCATGAAGACTCTCCAGAGCAGTTGCATTTTCTCCTCTCTCCCCACTGCTAAGACATCAACAGCTTTACAATCTGATCCGTCAGCTTAATGACAAACCAGAAGCTGGCACCGAAGCAGGAACATTTCTAGAGACATTCCTCAGTTCTCAATGCTTGGATCAGTCCTTGGCCCCACGTTATTTAACACATTGTCATCGCCTTTCAAAAGACATAATATTGTTGCTGATAAATTTTGCCAGTGACAGAAAGGCTCAGAAAAGAGTAAATTGAGTGGAAGGAGATCATCAACAAAAGCAGTTTGAATGGCTTGGAGAGCTGGGCACAAAGGAAAACTATATGTTTTTCAATGCATCGCGAAGTACGAGCAGTTATCTAGGAGCAAAGAAAGTGGACCGCAATTAGACGTGGGAGGTTTTATCATGGGAGATGCCACCTGAAAAAGCCAGGGAGGAATTGTTGCCAATAACCAGCTTGAGAGAAGGGCATGAGTTGCATTAAAGCTGTAATGGGCATTGATGGGAGAACTGCTGGGTCCTGCTCTGGTGTCCACAGCTTGGGAGAGACATCAGTGAAGTGGAGAGGGTTCAGGAAAGAACTGGGATATTGGGACAAGGGACTGGGAACCCACCAGGACCAAAACCCCTGAGTACCTTGGGGTGGGGGTGGGGTGTCACGTCTCTTGCCCATGCCACCTCTCTGCCTTGTCCCCAGCTGCTAATTTGGGCCACTCTGAAGGTCGGGTTGAAGCACCCCTGAAGCTTGGTGTCCCCAAAGCTGCCACCTTTCCCCACCCAACTCTCCCAAAATAACAGGTGCCCGTTTTCCCCCTCCTCCTCTGCAGTCATCGATGGCCCAACACAGATCCTGGTGAGGGACGCGGGTGAATGACGGCGTGGCAGACGGGGAGGGGGGGAGGACCACCTTCCGCCTGCAGCCCCCCCTCAGCCAGTACTCCCTGCAGGCTCTGCGCCCCGGCGCCCACTACCGCCTTGCCATCAGTGCCCTCCGGGGTGCCAACGAGAGCCGGCCGGCCCTCGCCCAGTTCACCACAGGTAGCTAGCTGGCTTTGCTGGGAGAATCGGCATGAATTTTTAAGCCTCCAACAAGCATGGGCAGATGGCTTGCTGCAATCTGCAGATGGGCTGTCCTGCAATAAGCATGGGGTTTTGCATATCTGGAGCCGAATCAAGGGGTTTTTTGCATCTGCATTTTAGTGGTACCTGGCTTTCCTTGGGCACAAGTGAGCTAGGGTTTAATCTGGTGTACTGGGGGGAAGCAGCACAATGAAAACATGATGGTTAAGATGCAGGTCCAAACGAAGATGCCTGAATGCAGGTGTCTCGCATCCCATCATGGTCCTGGTGCAGAGCAAGGCAGAGCAAATAATTCAGCTCACTCTAAAATACACATGCACAGCTCAAACCACCCTCTGACCCCCCCTCCACTAGTGCTGACATGTCTGTTTAGTCCCTAAACCTCCAGTGCAATGGGTCTCCACCATGCCCCATGCCCCTCGGGGATGCTCGCATGGTCCCCAGAGCACCCCAGGTGACCACAGATGCCAGTGACCAGGCAGATGACTCAACAACCCGCATTTAGATGACAACCCCTGAGCAAACCCCACCTTGGCCATGTCCTGCTGCAGCACCAAGGCTGAACCTGCTGCTGCCGGTGACACACGTCCCCACCACCTTCAATGCCCATTCAGACCCACAGCTTAGCTTGAGCCCACAACTAAAACTTTAAAACCCAGCAGTTTATACCCTTAATAGCACCCGTAGATCAATGTGCAATTCTCAAAAGCACCAAAACAGCAAGCACAGGTCTGAATTTAAAACGATGCTCGCTCCCATTCAGCGTCAAGAGCCGAAGCAGATGCATTGCCCAAGGAATCAGCAGTCAAGTGGCTGAAAGCAGCCCGGTCAGAAGTGTGGTTATCTTATTTTATATCTTCCATGAATACCCTAACTGGTCGGTAAAACTTTAATTAATGTTAAGCCTGCACATAGCTAACAGGTTTAATTTACCGTGCCATAAAGGAGGAGGTAGAGCGCTCATTTCAGTGCTGGTTTATGGTATATAAATTACTTGTCACGTACGTTACTGGTGGATACTAGGCTCCTATTACAATAACTGCGGTGTGTGAATTGTGTGTGTGTATATATCTCTACAGATATATATTTCAGATGAGATGTTCACCCCGACTGATTTGCTGTGTTGTCCTTCCTTGTTTTATTTCTAAAAGGCAACATAAAAATCCCCAACTAAACCCAGATCCATCAAGGAGCAGTAATTACCCCCATCTGCTGCCGTCCAGCCCCTGCCTGGCACCAACCCATCGCTCACCAGAGAGGTTTATCGTGCAAACCAAAGCAGATTCAGTGCACAGCCCCAGCAGCACTAATAAACAAACCCTTTGGGCAACATCTGAGCGTGAATGAGCCTGTAAAGATGCTTGAGGTCTTCTAAAGCAGTTCAAGCCAATGCATGACTGCTACAGAGCCCTTTTTCTCTTATGCACGCTACCTTGGTTTCCCTTACTCTAATACAGGGGGAAAATACTTTTCTTTTTTAAACAACATGCAATTAGCTCCTGAAGTGACTTACTGAGGGATGCTGTGAATGCCTCAGCACTCACGTCAGTCTTGTGGGTGGCATCCCCGGGTCTGTGCCAAGCAGGAGGTGAGAGCAGATGCCCCAGCCCTTTCTGCAGGGACACGCCCTGGGAAGGAGGGACCACATGTGGGACCTCACGGACATCACACCTGGGTACCCCTCCGCTGCCGTTTAGCCATGCCAAGGCTACGGGGTACATTCCCGGTGCCTGGCAGTGAGACGGAGCCTCTCTCCCTTGTGTCGCACAGAGATCGATGCCCCCAAGAACCTGCGGGTGGGCTCGCGGACGCCCGCCAGCCTCGAGCTCACCTGGGACAACAGCGAGGCTGAGGCACACAGCTACAGGGTGGTCTACAGCACCCTGGCCGGGGAGCACTACCACGAAGTGCTGGTGCCGCGGGACACTGGTCCCACCACCCGGGCCACCCTCGCAGGTATGCGTGCACCCACGTGTCCTTCCTCCCCCTCCTCCTCCTCCTTGCAAGCAGGTAGGGCAATGGAGAGCCCAAATCAATACTGGTGCTCAGTTGCCCTCACGCTGGCAAACATTTGAGGCTGTTTTGGAGTTTACTAGTTACTGGAGAGAAGGTTTTCCTTGGGATGAAGCTCATTTTCCCCTCTGTGGGTCTGGATTTGCGCACTGCTTATCCACGAGCTGAGTGATGCACCTCCGAGTGACACACCTCCAAGCGATGCACTTCCAAGTGATGCACCTCCAGCAAGGGTCTGTCCAGGTCCCAAACAGAGCTGGCAAGGAGCACAGTGAGAAATGGGGAGAGGAAGGCTTTTTAGGCTAGTCTAGAGGAAAATATTACTCCGCCCTTCTTTCTTTTTCTTGCTGGGAAAGAACCACAGGTGCCGATGCCCTGTAGGCAGCTATGGGGATCCAGGCTGCCTGAGTTCGTTTTTACAAATCAGGTATAAAGCAGACCCAAATCCAGGGATGCTATTTTTGAGCAAGTCCCTCAAGCGGTATGTTATTCAGGCCAGCACAGGGGGTGCCACTGGGGGCTGCAAACACCACTCACCTCCCACTGCCAGGAAAGTCCCAAATGCCCTTTGCAGCAACACCACGAAGCACTGTGTGAGATCTGGTTTCCTTTTTTTCAACTACAACTGCTTGCCTGACGGATTTGCAGCTCTGGTGGCATTTTTTTGATGAAAGAAAAGACTTACATACATACATACATACCAAAAAGATCACTCATTCAGCTTGAAGCTCTTCAGTGTGGCAGGACACCAGGTTCTTCCACGTTGACCCTCTTTGCCCTCCTGAGGCCTCCCCCAGCCTGAAGAAGGCTCAGGCATCTCTGCCATATGGACCTATAGGAATAAGTTCAGTGGGAAAGTCAAATGCCAAGTTACAGGCACAGCGGCACCAAGTCACGAGAAAGGCTGGAGGGCAGAAAAGCAATTAGAGCAGTTAGCTTGAAAAATGTGGTATGCGGAAAAAAGAAATGTTAGGGATAGTTTCTGCTGCGTTTGTGATGAGGACGCACATGGAGAAGCAGGATGAGATGGAGGGGGACAGCAAGGTATCGGAGACCCAGTGCTTGTCCCCTGCTAGCTTTCCTCTAGGCATTTACTGCCTTCCTAGGTGAGAAGGAGCATTAAAAATGGGCCAAATCCTCCTCCCCGGGGCAGAGGTTCAATACTGCCCCAGTGACCTAAACTGCGATGACACCCATGGTAGAGCCCAGGCTTGCTTTGGAGGAAGAGACAGTGTGAAGGCTCTCTTTTCTCTCAAAAAAACCAAAAAAAGCTGCCAAGTGCCTACCTGGCAGCACCAGCACTGCCTGGCTGCTGCCAGACTCAGGCAGGGCTACCAGAAATCCCCCCAGAGCAAGCTCCAGAGATACAGAGGCTTAAGTCGATAGCAGTGAGCAATTTTTATAATGCCTCCATCATCACGTAAATGCATTGTTTCTAGCTCCCAGGGTACTATGTAATAAACAAACAAGTTTTTTTAAAAAAATCTAATTATAACAGAAAATAACCAAAAAAACATTCTGCTGGGAAAAAAAAAGTCAGGATAGCCATAGTGTGGATGGCACATGAGTCTCTCCCATAGCTCCACTACGCACATCGTAGCTCTGTCCTCCAAGATTTTGGTGCACGTGGTGCAAAGCCTGTTGGGATGGGTTTCCAGCCATGCAGGACCTGGCGGGATCCAGTGTAAATGCAACCAGCGATTCCTTCAGCTGCCTTCATTTGCCTGCAGGAAAAGCAGTGAGGAACAGCGCTGAGCAGAGCTTATCAAAGATTTAAGCTTAAAAATACAGGAAGCCTTGCCCTGCCCTATGTGTCTCTCTTCAAAATCAGCATTTGCACAGAAATAGCCGTAATTTTGCTCTAGCCAAAAGAGCTGGGAGAGAAAAGGCATCATTTTTATATGCTCCTGCTCATTTCTTCCTTCTCCTCCCCCTTTCTCCCAGGCTTTTCTCCTTTCCAGGATACTTCTGACACTTATTGGGCAGGGGCAAAGGGGGTCCATCTCCCCCCCCAATGCCAAGACTGCACCATGGCAAGAGGAGCAGGGGATGGTGGTTTCCCTCCCTCCTGGCCTCCTAGGGAAGGTTTTGGTGGCTTCAGGGGATGCTGCCCCTGGGCAAGGCAGGGTGAGGCCGGGCTGGAGCGTTTTTGGCTTTCTCTAATCCCGTGGGAAAGATCATGAAGCACAGGGAGGAGGGGAATAAAGCCATCAGCAGCCAAGCTGAAGTGACAGGCAGAGGCAGGAGATGTTCCACAGACATAAAACAGTGATCAGCAGTAGGTGCGCAGGAAAGGAGCAGGATGAGCTTGGTTCCTATGTCTCTTGAGAGAGGCACCGCAAGATACGTCCACCCCAAGGAGCGGCTCTTGATTCAGCTCCCAGAAAGACTGTGCCTTTCCTAATTAACGTGCATTTCATTTACTCTGCATAATTTATTTCTCTTCGAGACACTAGCCCTGTGACAATATTTGATGTTGAATCACTTTGGAAACAAATATAGCTACTTTATCGTTCCCATCTCAGCTCACACACATGCAATTTCTGCCTCAATGCCAGCAATTACAGCAGACCTCAGCAACAACTTTTAAAAATTGCTTATTTCTGAGCTAGAATAATCCAAATTCCCTGTCCAAAGGCATCCACGGGGCTTTTTAAAAAGGCTCAGCTCTTCTCTAATGCACGGAGGAACCACTGACCTGTGGGAGGGCTGCTCACCCCAGGGATGCTCAGGACAGGTCCCCCTCTGTCCCCAGCCATGGGAGGTGGGGGAGTTGCACCCCAAGGCCACCCAGCCAGGTGCTGCTCTCACGCCCCTTCATGTCCTTTGCACCCCCCGGCAGATCTGGTGCCAGGGACAGAGTACGGCATCGGGATTTCAGCCGTGATGGACAGCCAGCAGAGTGTGCCAGCAACCATGAACGCCAGGACAGGTGAGTTTGGCCCTGTTGCATGCTCCAAGCATGGCCAGCTCCTATGGCTCAGATGTCTCCATGGGATGATCCATGCATGGGGACAAGGGTCTGCACCAACCCTCTCCCACAGAGCTTGACAGCCCCCGAGACCTCCTGGTGACGGCCTCCACGGAGACGTCCATCTCACTGGCCTGGACCAAAGCCACAGGGCCCATTGACCACTATCGCGTCACCTTCACCCCCGCCTCAGGGATGGCCTCCGAAGTGACGGTGTCCCGGGACAAGTCGCAGCTCACCCTCTCAGAGCTGGAGCCCGGGACAGAGTACACCATCTCCATCATTGCTGAGAGGGGACGCCAGCAGAGCCTAGAGGCCACCGTGGATGCCTTCACAGGTAGAGAAAGACAAGCTGGGATGGAGCCAAAGGCACAGACCACTGCCCCACACTGGCACCTCCACCAGCCCACCGCATCCTCAGCGCTGAAACTCCTGAGGCAGTGACGGGGATGAGAGCTGGGGACAATCCATCCACACGGGAGGAGGTCTGTGGACCTCAAAGGAGGATGGCCCTACCAGTGTGGGGGATCCCATCCCCCTGGCCAGCAGCACTGAGCACACTTGTTTGGCTAGAGGCTCCCATAAGGACAAGGCAGGGTTGGGGGAACAGCCAGCCCGTGCTGTCCTCTGTGGTCAGGGTGGTCTGTGTGTCCATAAGAAGGAAAAAACAAGTCTTGAGGGGCCTCACAAGCACCTCTGGGTGAAAAGCCTGCAGTCGAGAAGCCCAGACAGCACATACAGTCTGTAGTGGGACAGCCCTATCACCTACCATATGGGTCTGGGATGGAGGGTGTTTGCAGGCAGAGCTGAGAAAAGCACCGTTTTTCCCCTTCCAGTTCTGCCTCTCAATCCCAGCACAGTTTCAGATCAATGGAGAGCCCAGAGCTGCAGCTTTGCCTCCTCTGTTGGGTATTTCCCATACAAATGCTGGGAACAACACACAGGCCAGGATCTGCAGACGGTTGGGGTTGCATCTCCCCTCTCCATCTTGCAGGGGTCCGGCCCATCACGCAGCTCCACTTCTCCAAGCTGACGTCCTCCAGTGTGAACGTCACATGGAGTGATCCATCCCCGCCAGCAGACCGCCTCGTCCTTACCTACAGCCCCCGGGATGAGGAAGAGGCACAGCAGCTCACGCTTGACGGCACCCGCAGGCACACCAGCCTGACAGGCTTGCGGCCATCCACTGAGTACCTGGTGTCGCTGGTGGCCATGCACGGCGCCGTCAGCTCCGAGCCTGTCATGGGCTCCATCACGACAGGTACCATGGGATCCCCCTGCCGGGCATGGGACCCCGCCGGGAGGGCGGGTGGGGGACGGGGAGTGGACCTGCCTCCCACAGCTTTGCTTTCTGCTCCGTCTCACCAGGGATTGATGCACCGAAGGACCTCAGGGTGGGCAACATCACCCAGGAGTCCATGATCATCTACTGGAGCCCTCCTATTGCTGCCTTTGACCACTATAGAATATCCCACCGCACTGCTGAAGGTAATGGGGTCAGACCACTCTTGCTCGTGCCCTGAGCTCGCAGCTGTCAACCCTCCCTCCATCTGTGGGCACGAGCAAGCCACCAGGTCATCCTCACCCCAGGCAGCATCCCAGTGCCCTGGGAAAAGCCACTGATAACTGGGATGGACCAAGAGGCTGCAGGGATGGAGGACAGGGTGTCTGGGACAAGGATGGGCAAGGGCCACTGTAGCCAAGGGGCAGCTCAGTACAGAGGGGCACAGGGAGTGACCCCCTGCCACGTGCCCTCCTCAGGGATGGTTAGTTCAGGGCCTGATCCTGAAATCCCACCTCCACCACCTGCCTCCCTTGGCTCATCTCCCTTAGCCCCAGTTTCAGCTGCAATACTGAAAAGGTCGAGCCAGCAGAGTGATGGGCACACAGGTGTGCACCCACAGGCACAAAGCCCAGTCACCCCCAGTATCAGCCCTGGACAGGGCTTGTGGCATTGCCCTCTCCTCCCAAGCACCTCCTGTACCCAGGGACAGGGCCAGCCTTGATGCCAAATCTCTTGGCTCTGTCCCCGCAGGGAGGAAAGACAGCACCACCATTGCCAGCGATGCCACTGAGTACGCCCTCCGCCGCCTGCAGCCTGCCACCAAGTATGAGATCGGGGTGAAGAGCGTGCGCGGCCGGGAGGAGAGCGAGGTGGCCTCCATCACTGTGCATACAGGTAGGAAGGAGCTCCTGGTGGGCAGGTAGCCATCAAACAGTGCCAGCCCCTCCTTGCACTAGCAATCAGGCAGCTGAGAGAAAGCTGAATCTCATGCTAGCCTGATGCAAGCTCGAGATGATCAGCAAGGCTCACGAGGGCCCAGTGTGGACTTTTGAAGTGTGTCTAAGCAAAGCTTTTCCCGTATATGCATGGGTAGTCATGGAGGGGGGGTGATAAATCTGTGTTCCGGGCACAGGGAAGCCAGAGATATGACGTTGGGCAACCATAACAACCTTTCCTAAAGGAAGTACAGACTTCCAGAAATAATCCCTGGGGAAGCCCTGACACAAACAGCATCTACTGCAAAAATAAAACCCTCTGCTATCCCCAGACTCCTCAAAACCTAAAAAAAACCCCTAACATCCCAGGCTGTGCATCAGGAAAACAGTGGAAGAGCAGCCCATGTAGCAGAGTAGCACAAGCTATGACAACTCTGCTCTCCAGCTAGGGCAACAATAACTCCTCTGCAGGCACATGTGCCTGGGCAGCAAGGCAGGACCATGAGTGATGGGTCACAAGAAGCCCTTCCAGTTCATAGCCCAACCTCTTAATGTCTCTGACTCTCTGAATCTGTCCCCCCCATGCAGCCATGGATGCCCCCTTGGGGGTCACAGCCACCAATGTCACCCCCACCGAGGTGCTGCTGCAGTGGAACCCGCCACTGTCAGAGGTGGAGAGCTACGTCCTCATCCTCACCCGCCACGCAGGTACGCCGAAACCCTGCGACCCTCTGCCACAAGCTTTGCTGGGGCTCCATTTCAACTCACCTCCACTTCTCCCCCATCCCAAAGCCCGGGGCTCAGTGGGTGCCGTCCACAGAGGGAGTAGGGAAGGAGCCCTTGCTTCGGGAGGGCAGCAGCTGGCAGGTGGCAGGGCTGTACCTCATCCCCAGACACCAGCTCCTCCCACGCAGGTCCCATGGCAGCGCCCCTCACCAAGCCTCGGAGCATGGCATTCCACACAGGAGGGGACTGGGATCCCCCTGCTTTACTAACTGGCCCACCAGCAGCAACCCAGGGGCAAGCAAGTACCCATCCCACAGAAACTCAGTGTGCAGCAAACTCCATGAAACCCACTACTGAAGGGAAAGAAAGCATCAGGCAAATATAGGGACTGTGGGAAAAATAAGACCATCCTTCAGACCAAACACCACCACTACAGCTCAGCTGCCACAAAACAGCTCATGGTGTTTCAGCGGTGTAAGTGCTTTTGATCATGAGGTCATATCCATAGACATATTTTGGAGAACCACCTTGAATACCTACCTAAGTCATCTCTTTTGGCTTACAGTTGCAGGAGAAACAATTCTTGTGGATGGAGTCAACCAGGAGTACCAGCTGACCAACCTCCTGCCCAGTACCACCTACACAGTCTCTATGTACGCCACCAATGGGCCTCTCACCAGCCAGTCCATCAGCACCAACTTTACAACTCGTACGTACAATCACCTCCCCGACTGCTTGTTACGCACCCTTAGCCATACATCCACCCCAAGAAAAGCAGCCAGCACAGCTGAGCCAAAGCTCTTCTCACATACATGCAGGTGTAGAAGTAGCCATGTGCCAAAAGGACACTCAAATACCAGTGTTGGGCACAACACAAGAACAGAATTTTAATCACAACAAGCATCAACCATCATTTTCACTCTTTCAACATCCATCCATCCCTTTCTTTGATTTCCCCTGGATGTGGTTTCCCAAGAAGGCCCTTGACCAGGTCTTCTTGACCAAGGCCATAGTCCAGAAGAGCACTACAACCCATTTTGCTTACAAGAAGCTTGACAGGTCCCATAGCACATGAATTTCAGAGCCATTACCCTTCAGAGAGCATGCAGATAGAGGAGGCCTTTTAGAGGGTTTGCAGAGCCCTGTTCAAGGCTGGGGACGGGTGATGAAGTCTGGAAACTGAGGGCAAGGATGGACTTTGGGCTGCAGCTTAGGGTTGCAAGGTTGAATCCCAGTGTGCTGAGTTGGGAAGTGGGGCTGGGGTGGTTGCGTGTGAGAACCTGCACTTCCCTGGGTCCCTATCCACCCTTGCAGTTTTGGATCCTCCAACAAATTTGACTGCCAGTGAAGTCACTCGACGGAGTGCCCTGCTCTCCTGGGTGCCTCCCATGGGAGAGATCGAGAACTACGTCATGACCTACAGATCCACCGACGGCAGCCGGAAGGTGAGTGAGTCCTCACAAAGAAAGACGCTCATTAAGTCAAGGAATAACATGATTGTGGAGAAATGAACAGGAGAAACCCAACAAAGCAAAAGAACGATGCTCACTAGGTCAGTAGGGAGAGACCAGAAGGGTAGATGCTACTTTCTGCATAAGCAATACTTTAGAAAAAAAGCAGGAAAAGATTGCCTAGGGCAAAATCTTTATGCACACCTGCAGGTCTGGGCAAAGAGGGCATGCCTGGAAAGTTTGGAGGAACAGGGGAAATTCACAACTTGTGAAACACAAGCAAGCTGAGGCAGGAGAAAATTATCCCATGAACAGAGATGCTAAAAATGTTATTTGCCCTCCTTGCAAAAAGGAAGATAGGTACAGACAGCTAATTAATCTCGCAATACAATATATTTGACTATTTAATGAGTGTGTCCATATCTGCCTGTCTGGGATTGCTGCTACAAACGCTATCAGAAATACCGCAAATAGTCTAATTTCCTTTGCCGGTGTGACTGGCTCGCAGCGGCCAAAGGATAATAGCTTTGCAGAAGGGGTTCGATATAATGCTATGTGGCATTGGCTGACAACCAGAAAAATTAACATGACAGGAATTGACAGAGTCAAAACTGGCTGATAACCAGGTTTGGCCAGCTCTACTCTTTGCAATGCTTGGGCAATCTGTCATGCCCCGTATTGAGGGCACGCAGATCCCAACAGAGTTGGTAAATAGAGCACACAAATTGCAAACATTTACATTTCCTGTATCCAAACCAGCTAGCTTTCTCCCACCTGAACCATCCCAAATGGATGAATACATTCATTGACCTCACGTTTAGTCCAGGGGTGTAAGCAGCCATGCAACGCTTCTCAGCCAGGCACCAAGGGCTGTGGTAGTTTGTGGCTTCCCTTCCCTCCTCACTTGCTCTTTAGGCTCCCCATCGCTTTTCTCATCTGTTGCTCTTGGTGTCTACCTCCTTCTGGGACCCATGTACAGGAGCTGATTGTAGATGCTGAGGACACGTGGATCCGCCTGGAGGGGCTTTCTGAGACCACAGAGTACACCGTGCACCTGCAAGCTGCCCAAAACGCCATGAGAAGCGGCTTCATCTCCACCACCTTCACCACAGGTGAGGATTCACACCACATCCACTCAGCCAGGCAAGGCTTAGCCCACATACTGTGCTGGTAGACATGGACTGCTTTTATGGGCTTTCCATCCTCAGGCAGCATTTCACCACGATCCACAGAGAGGTACATTCATTTCTACAACCCACGGTGCTGCTCTGCTACAAAAAGTTAATGGCTGAAGAACCTATAACACAAACACAAGGTCCAGCCCAGGGCAAGGGGATGTGAGCTTCAGACCAGGAACCATCTACTAGGCCCTTTGCCTTGCCTTTGTCCCTCCTCAAATGCATAAATAGAGGAAAAAAAACACAAAAGTCAACAACACGTTATCAATAGATATGCTCTTGTAGTGAGTGGGGAGAGACCCAGTTGGTCTCTCCACACTGTAGACATGGAGACATGGTCCGATCTCTCACAAATATCACAGAATCATAGAATCATAGAATAGCTTGGGTTGGAAGGGACCTTTAAAGATCATCTAGTCCAACCCTCCTGCAATGAGCAGGGACATCTTCAACTAGATCAGTTTGCTCAGAGCCCTGTCCAACCTGACCTCAAATGTTTCCAGGGATGGGGCATCCCTGGAAATGTCAAGCAGGTGCATCTCCACAACCATCAGTGCAGTCACAGACAGCAGAGCCAGCATGCCCACAGGACTGTGGTCCCACTGATTTTATCTAATTGCATTATTCCTTCCCCCTCTAATTCTAGAGAAGTCACGATCCACTAAGGCAACAGGAATGGGTTCCTTTCTAAATTAAACAGTGGGCATCCACAGCCACCATAACCTTCACAGACGGAGTGCTTACACTTGCAAGAATGAAGCTTGCATGAAAATGTCACCATTGCTCCCACCCTTTGCGACCATTCACATTAGAAACTGTGCAAAGCATATAGTCCCTCACCCTCTTTGAAAAGCCTTGCTAGGCCAGGGCACTTAAGAGACAGAATGCATTTTGTTCAGGGCTGAATCCAATTACGTTTCTCTGGGCTTCAAAAGCACTAAGAAGCCTGAAGATGATGTCCACCGAAATTCCTCCCATCTGCGCTGCCAGTTTGATTTGGAGAGTTTTCTTTGAATCTGCTGTGGATACACTTCCCCATCCCAGTTACACACATAGGTCCCTTCACCTGCTTTTAAGAGATAATAGAAACTATTTATGTCAACAAAAAAAGAAAAGATTCTTCTCTAATGCATCTACAGGCTTTCCTGTTATTCTTGCCTCTTATGCAGGCACATAAAGCCAGGGCAATTCAGGCAGGTGATGGAAAAATGCATGTAATCTTTGAGGCTGTTTGGGAGTCAGGGACAAAGCTGCATGGGGCTGGCTTCTCAGCTGGGATAAAGCAGCGGAAACCCACTCACGTCAGGCAAGGAGAGCACTGTTTCTATTAAGCACAAATGTCAGACTTTGGCAGTGTTAGAGACACCCTCGCCAGCTGACGCAGCATCCGAACACAGGTTTAATTTGCTTTTAAGATGAAGGTAGGCATCAGCAAGAAAGTGGTTTCTCTCCACTTACCCCATATATCGGTGAGACAGAAGCACCCAGGAACAAACATCGAGTCAATGCAATCCATGGGCAGCATCCCTCAGCGAAGAATCGGGGTCTGGGATTCAGTTCACCCTGGCAGTGTATCAGGCCACTTTGCAGAGAACAAGGACTTGTCTTTAAGGAGACAAAAAAAAGAAAAGAAAAAAAAACAGGCTTAATTTAAATGGTTTTGCTTCCTTCTGCTCGCAGTACACATCCCAGGGTTCTTCCATTCCCTCTGACATATTAATAGCTCGGCCTCTTTGTTTCATGTTTGCATAAGGTTCTTGGGGAATTGTATACAGATGGGACAAAAGGAAGAAACAGATAAAATATTTATAATTTATAGTGGTTTGAAATGTCTTTCAAGGTCTCCTTGGCTCTTAAAGATATGAATATAAATTAAGAAACAAGTAATCTCCACAGAGCTCAGGGGAGCCTGAAGTGGTTGTCTTTGAAGCAGTTTCCATTGTTGGATACTATGAAATGCAAACACTGTCTCACCAGACCTTGCGCTAGAGACCACGGAGATGGGAAAAAATAGGGGATCTCCAACATTTGGACAAAGCGACAACCTCAGAGTCTTCAGGTCACAAGGCTGGGGGGAATACACCCAAATGGGAAATTAGAGACAAGGGTCTGTACGCTGGTCCTATTGGGGTATCACACAGTTGTGATGGGCACAACTATCACACCTTCTCAATCCGTAACTGAGACACCCTCAAAAGCCACATCCACGTTGCCTGCTCTGCACTCATTTACCCCATCACCCATACGCACCAACAGCAAAGAAAAAGATGTATTTCCCCCTTTTGCGTTAAATGAGAAAAAATTGAACCCAGAGTTGACATCCCAATACTGCTGGAGTCTTGTAGTTAAGACTCTCTTAAACTCTGACCCCCAAATGAGATGTTTCTTCATTAGAAGACACCTGGAGCACCACCACACAGCCCACGCTGCCCATCTCTAGCATCTTGCACAGTCCCAGCCTCATTCCTGCCCAGTTTGCAAGTGACAATCAGCCTGGCACAAGCCCATCATCATTTCCAAGGGCATGGATTGGGAGAATCCCCCTGGAACCAGTAAAGTCATAAAACTTGTTTGGGGCTGGCAATCCTGAGAGTAGAACAGGTTTTGGTATTTTCGCAGCTGTCTAAATACGCTGGTGACAGCTTAAACCCCAGGGTTTCAGACATGGTGCAGAAAAATGGTCCAAGAAGTGACATCCCTCATCATTCATAGTGATGTTACCATGCACCTTTCCAATATAGGACGTATGGGAGATTAATTAATATATGCACAGATTTTTTTCCATTAAATCGTCTGATGTTGTTGGCAGATGTAAAGTCCCACCGCCTTGCAGAATAACTTGGTACACAGAAGCCAAGTTAGACCTTTCCTGGATCATAACCAGTGGGGCCCGAGGCATGTGGAAAGGGTGTCACTCTGCTCAAATTTTGCTTTTTTTTTATAATTTTGCAGGCGGTCGTGTCTTTGCTAACCCTCAGGACTGCGCCCAGCACCTGATGAACGGAGACACACTGAGTGGCGTCTACACCATCTCCATCAACGGGGACCTCAGCCAGCGAGTGCAGGTGTACTGTGACATGACCACCGATGGAGGCGGCTGGATTGTGAGTAGCCGTGCGGTTGTCCTATGCATTGTCCCCACCGCAATGTAACTGAGCCCCATCCTACCAGCAAAGCCAAGCACCACGCTGCGCGGGAACGACAGCAGGCTTAATATAGCACGCTTCATTTCCCACGCCATAGGGAATGGCCCACGCTCCAGTAATAATAGTTACACTTGGAGAAATGCCCTTTGATTTATTTGACATGTTTGCAGTACTTATGGAGAGCAAAATCTGAGACTGAAGCTGATTTATTGTTCTAAAAATGAAATTAATGACCGATAACTTTCACAGGGAGTGATTCACACTGCCTGCAGTAGGAGGGTGTCGGGCATCACCCCAATTGAGTCCACACAGGAACATTCTAGAGGCAAATGCCTGCTTGGCTTTTGAATTGCACAAACACTGCTCGTCTTGACGTAGATGGACTGGCAGTTTAAGTAAATAATGCTCTAGTGCTTTGATTTTATTTGTGTCAAAGGCTTACTTACATGCATTACACAGAACTCCGCTAGATGTATAGTCAAAAGAAAAAAAATGGGTTTCCTCAAATGCTGATTTCTAGCACGGATGTTATTTTAGCCAGGAAATTTCCCTCCATCTCACCCTGCCTCAAAGCATCCCCTTGGATATCACAGAAAGAGCTAGCCGAAAGCAGAATCACATGCTAGAAAAACAGAGGCACCACGCATCGGCTGATTCCTTCCTATAATAACATTGATTTGCCTTGGACATCACTTAACATCTCTTCAGTTTCTCCATCTGCACATGAATTAATTGCATGGCTGCAATTAACACTAACCAGATGGATATTGCAATTATGTCCCCTGAAAGGCACAATGGAAAGACAAAGTATTGTCTTTATTTCATGTGCCCCAAAGCCCAGTGAGGCTGTCCGTCTTCTCCTTCACACCGATTTTCCCCCTGCTCTTCCCCCACCGCAGGTCTTCCAGAGGCGGCAGAACGGGCTGACCGATTTCTTCCGGAAATGGGCAGATTACCGGGTTGGCTTCGGAAACTTGGAGGACGAGTTTTGGCTCGGTAAGACCTTCACTGGTTGTCTTTCATCGATGCATCAAACCTGAGCTCTGTGTGCACTGTGCTGCTCACCTGTGCCAGCTGTTGGCTCCTTGCCTCTCACCCCACTCTACATTCTCCCTCAGGCAGCTTCCATTCCATTGTTCATCCCCTGCCCTGCACGTTAGAAAGTCACTCATGGGCATACCACATAAAAGCACATTGTGAAGGCCAGCAGCTCCCTAATTTGCTCCTCCTAGGAGAAGGGGGTACACCGGCGGTCTTCATGGACCAAAACCCATCATCCTCCTTTGGATGACTACAGGTTGCATTGGTGGCATCTGTGACTTGGCCAGCAAGCCAGTTGCCCAAAGAAAGTAGGAAAGGGGTGAGCAGGAGACCCTGCACAGCTCTGAAACGGAGCATGCTCCCCCAAAACCTGAACACAAGCCAACACCAGCCCTGCAGCATAAACATGCTCTGGCTTGTACGGGAGCTTAACAGCTCAAAAGATGGTCGTGCAACACAAGAAGCACCAGGGGTCCACAGCTGATGATCCCCAGCTTCAGCAGCATGGAGAAAGCTGAATCTGGGGCTTGAACCCACCTCTTATAGCCACAGGGAAGTGAAGCTTGAGTGGGGACAGAGAGCTCAGACCCCACCAATGCCAGAAGAGACAAAGATTTAACCAGAAGTGCTGTTGCTCTCTGGTTCCTCTCCTCACTCTCATTTCCCACAGACATTTTATTTGCCTAGAGCTTTTTTTGTTTGCTCACGGAGCAGATCCAGGCATTGGGTCTCACTGGGTGTCTTGCTGCTTGTCTCACCAGGTTTGGACAACATCCACAAGATCACGTCCCAGGGGCGCTACGAGTTGCGAATAGACATGAGGGACGGCCAGGAAGCAGCGTATGCCTACTATGACAAGTTCTCCATCGGCGACTCCCGGAGCCTGTACAAACTGCGAATCGGGGACTACAACGGCACTTCAGGTGCAATCTCAGTGCTAGCAAGCAGTAGGGAAATCCTGGGACCGGTGGGTCTGAAACTGTGAAGGAAATCCCAACATCAAAGCTTACTTTTCTGGAGCAGCAAAACACAAACCCTTTCTGCCTTCCTGCAGTCCATCATGTAAACCAGGCTGATAAATCCCACTAAGGAGAGAAGGAATTTTCCATTGAGGATTAGATATTAAATATCAGAGGCATTGCTATTCAAATAACCAGGTCAATCATCAGAGGTGTCATCTCACTTGGCAATCACCGCAGCTTGCTATTGATGTCATGCTGGAGGGTGTATTTATTGCCCTCCCACAGCAATGGAAAAAGCTGAAATCCTCTGCATCGTTTCCTCATGCAGAGACCAAACACAGTCTGATTTTGCAAGGACACTGTCACACCTGCTTGCTCGGTTGATGCAGCAGCACTAGGCTTTGCCCACCAGAAAACAGTGGGTGATGGGTGATGGAAGGAGGGGGTCTCTTCCCCGAGAAGCAGTAGAGGGGTACAGCTGCAGCCATTCTAGCTGGGATAGACATGCCCAGTGACTGCAAGCCTCTGCGATCCACACAAAACTTCACCACCATGTACTTAGTGAGGAACCCCACACCATACCTAAGACACAGGAGTTTTCCTATACAATACCTGGTAGTTGCCACTGGAAGGGAAGAGATGGAGATCTTGGTTGCATGCAACACAGCACTTGCTCTTTCCTTAAGTCCCAGGGCACAAGGCACCCATCCTGTTGCCAAAAATGCCAGTAAGTGCTGCAGACACAACTCCCTCCCCTTCCCCATGCAAGCTTTTCTTCTAGCTGTCCAACGAAGGAGCTTCTGCTCCACTTTGAGCAGAGAGAGCCAAGACTCACCAAATGGTTCATTGCCAAGAGGTTTTCTAGCAAGCCTCTTGGTGGCTGGACTGCACACAGCTAGCACGGGTTGACTTCATATTTTCTTAGGGACCACCAAGGAGCATATTAAGAATGTCTCCTGTAAGTACATCACTCAATTGTAATAACGACCATATTTCACTTTGGCTCTTCTTTCACCCAAAAGCAGCTCTCTTGTTCCTTAGTAAGGAGGGGAGATGAGGTTGGTGGTTTTGGTGAAATAGACAACACGCACCTTCCAAAATGTTCTTCCTTTTATTCAAAGGGAGAAAAGAAGGCCAAGCATCTTGGTTCAAGAGGCAAATGCTTGGGCTTCTCTGGGAGAAAAAGTTCCCTTTGGCTAACAGGAGGGAAGGAGGCTGAAAGCATCCTAAAGTTATATAGCAGTCAGGCTTCAGGAAACCAGGGATCCCCAAATCTAGGATTTAATTCATTTCTGAAACACTGAAATTCAGGTCCAAAACCATATAGCATTTTATCTGCCAAAGCCAAACAGCCTGTAAGATTTGCTGTGGTCTGTACTGATCCTAAACTGACAGCAGAGGACCTCAGATGAACGAATTGTGAACAATTCCAGTTAACGTTATTCCCAGACTTTCAGATGCTTGAGCTGTTGATCAACAGGCTACCACATATACCAGAATATCCTAATTTACTTGTGAAAAAGACCAGATGACTCAGGCTCCATCACCTCTAACAGCACCTCTTTCCACAGGGGACTCCCTCACCTACCACCAGGGCCGCCCCTTCTCCACCAAGGACAGGGACAACGATGTCGCTGTGACCAACTGCGCCATGTCCTATAAAGGGGCCTGGTGGTATAAGAACTGCCACCGTACCAACCTCAATGGCAAGTACGGAGAGTCCCGGCACAGTCAGGTAAGGACAGAGCTGGGCTGAAAGCCTTTGGCATTTCTTCTAGCAGCATGACCAAGCGCGACAGCAAACCCAAGCTAGGGCTGGGGCTGCGTGGTCAGTGCACCAGCACCAGGAGCACTGCTGGGGTGACCCAACACAAGCTGGAGCAAAGGGAACCACCTTCGAGACATTTGGGGTGGTGCTTCATGCCTCACGCTGGCTGCCACGGTCATTTACCTTGTTAAGTTACATTTAAAAAAATACATACATAAAATTTGATCATGAGCCTTTGAGCAGTGGGAAAAACCCATCAAGCCAGAGCAGCAGAAGAGTTTCTTGCTCCCACTGGTGCAAGTTCTTCCTTCTGGCTTCTCTACGGCAGTCAAGTTTTTTTCCTTCCTCTCCCACTCTAGTTTCATGTTAGGGTCTTTCTTTACCCTGTGCCTTTCTCTCCCTCCTGCCAGGGGATTAACTGGTACCATTGGAAAGGCCACGAGTTCTCCATCCCCTTCGTGGAAATGAAGATGCGACCTTACAACCACCGTAATATCTCTGGGAGGAAGCGACGGTCCCTACAGCTCTGAGCCAGCTGAACCCCCTCCCACCTCCCACCACCTGACCTTGTCTGTCATTTGTTTGTATTTTATAATATGAAAAGGGGGGAAAAAAAAATTACTACTCGTCTGAGATAGCAACCTGCCCCTCACGAGTGCTGGAGGGAACCAATGGCACAAGCAAAGGCCATGGGAAAGGAAAGACCTCATTGCTTTGCATCTGTCCCAGAGAAATACCAAACTTCCAGTCTCCCTACCCCAATACTCTGGCCCTTAACACAAGAAGGGAGAGAAAGAGAGAGACAGATTTTTGATATTTTTTTAAAAGACTTAGAAATCCCCAGCAAACTCTGTCAGAAATGTTTGTCACAGGGCTCGTGGCAGAAACCTTCCCCAAGGTTGGTGTGGCCATTTCCACCCTAGTCATGACCTGGGACACCTGTCCTCTCCCTGCCTCCCTGTCCCCTCCCGGCAGGGAGGTCCCAAGCTTCATGCCATCCTGTAGACACCAACTCTTCCAGCAGGCAGAGACCTGTCTCTTCTTCTGGCCTGGTCATCCCTCCCCTATGCGCAGGCACTGTATGCATAGAGACAAAGCGAGAATGAGCAAACGCAAGGCTCACCCCAGCCTCAGTTTTCAAAGATCACACCAGGAAGGCTTGATGAATATTTGCATATGTAGGCAAACTCTAGAAAGCCCACAGCTCACATGTTGGCCCCACCACAGCCAAAGTCATCCTCATGTACCTGATGCGTAGGGGAACAAGAGCTGCTCCACCAGCCCCAACCTGCATCATCCACTCCTCCGAGCTGAACTCTTCCCACTCCAGCTGCCTGACATCTGCCTGGGTTATGCTGAGCTTGATGGAGAAGAAAGGAGTCAAATTAGAGGACTTGGGAAAAAATCACTACTTGTGGTCTTGAACTCTAGAGCCCATTTCCCCTGCTATTTCTATGTGCCACCACGCTGTCTTTCACTGAGGTCATTGGTCCCAAACCATAGAGTCTCAGAGAAGGACCAGCAACCAAAAGAGCTATCACACAACCGCAGCCCAGCCTGAAGCTGGCAGCTGGCACAGCCCCGGTGCTTTTGTTCAGGGACCTCCATGCACATGGGGAATGATGACGACCCAGCCGAGGGAAGACAAGCACAAGCTGAGAAATGCCCGTTCTCTTCCTTCTCCTACACCATCTCTCTTTGCCGCCATCACAAGAGGGACACAAGTCTCAGTGCCTTGGTATCACAATCTCTCTAATGGGAAGCTAACTGTTTCACCTCCTGGAAGGAAGGCTTAGTCCATTCAGATTTTGGAGCACTTCAAGACCCTTGGAAGAATAAATGAGTTCACTCTTCCCATCCTTAACTTCTCCCATCTTAAGGTCAATGGACCCTTCGGATAGCTCTGGCTGCGCTCTGTTGTCATTGACACCACCTCCACGTAGCCCAAACAACCACCGCACTGGAGTCACTCCTCTGCTGAGGGCTCTGATCAATGCTGGGCATTGTCACTGGCCTGGTCTCAGAGAAGGGACTCATCCCCATGTTCAAGGACAATGCAGCTCATCACTGGGTTCGCAGCCAAGGGAGCATTACAAATGCTAAACACTGCTTTTTGATTTTATCACACTGAAGCTGCTTTGTCTCAAGAAACATCTTTCAGATGGCAACATAAAGGCATCTTTGCAGTATCTTATAATTCAAGCCAGTGTCTCTTTCATGGTCATGCTCCTGGATTTTCTGACGTTACTCACCACGGCTGCAGAGCTAAAGAAGGGCATTAAGCAGGAAACGCAGCCTCCTTGTCCATTCCACGTACTGGCACATGAAATCACAGCTAACCCCAAGGCCAGGATTAGGTACAGGGTCCAGCCCTTCAAGTGGTCAGCTTACAAGCTGCAGTTTGACCTGGAGTAAGGATGCTGTAGCTCAGCAACATCTCATATATAAATGAGGCATCTCTTCTTACTTCCCATCAGCATCAAATCAGGCAACAAGTCAACTAGTTGAGGAACAGGTCAGTCAGAGAGGCTGCAGATGATGGGACCTCTTGAGGGACATGGCCAGTGTCATGGATGGCAGCATGTCATGCCTTCTGAGCAGCCTGCCCTGTTTTAGGTTCCAAAAGCCAATAAGAAGCAGCAGATAGAACCGACTAAAACCTAAGAGGCCTCCTAGTAGACCAGCAGAGTAATATTTTTCCCAACATCACCAAGAGTTTATAGGCAAAAAGTGTCCTAACAAAAGCACTATAGTGCAGTGGTTATAATGACAAGCAGAGACTGACAGTGGATGGCATTCATCACCTGTCTTGGATGGTGCTGTTTGCTTATCCAGCCAGGTGAAAGGAAGAGACATCAGTGGAAACACAGGAGCTCATCATTCACAATGAAGTGGAAGGCAAGAAACCTCTCTTTTCAAAAGTACAAGTTAAACAGAAAATCAAAACATGCCAAGCTTTTCCAGGAGATTCAGAAGAAGATCTTCAAAAAGGCTGATTATTTCTACATAGATTTACTGACATATATTTCTTCCTCCCTGCTCATGTCTGTCATCCCTTTTATATGTCTTGTAACCAGGATGAGAGGATCTGGTTGACACAAGTCCATCGTCAAATCTGAAGGACAACCTTGGAGATAATATCTGACCTTTCGCTGCCATTATATACCAATGCTGGTCCTTGATCTCACACATGGTACCAGGGCGTTGCCTTTCCATTATCCTGGTGAAATACAGTTGCTAAAATCTTTTAAAGGAAAGACATCTACACGTGGTGGTTTTGTTCTCCTGGTGATAACCTAACCCAAGCCTAGGCACACAATCAGCAATGACGACCTGGTCATTTGGGCCATTGTCCCTTGTTCACATTGTCCTTATACAAGATAGAATTTTCCAGAAATTTCTTTTTCATCATTGCCTGATAAATTTTTTTGGGCAAAGCTCCTGCCAGCGGTTTCAAGCAAATTTGTGCTTAATGTTGATGCTACAGAATGGCCAGGTGATTAAGTACATCCTCTCTTTACCCTCCATCACCAGCTGGGCAAGCCCTTTTCCTGAATTCATTCTCCAACCAGAACAAGTTTGGCCCTGTCCCCCATCAGCACGGCATTGAGACTGAATGAAGTCTTAGCAACAAGCCTGAAATTCCCAGGAACCCAGCCTGGATCCTGCGTAATGCTCATCTCAAGAGACCTTGGCTCCAGCACGTGAACGATCGCTGGGCTCTGGTGGCTCCTCTGCCATCCAGCTTGTATGGCCCAGGCTTGCCCCAGACCCCAAAATGAACCTGAAGCTGTTACCAAAACCAGACTATCCACTGCGAGATGCCAAATCCCATAACATCAAGCAGGGAGAAGCACGTCAGGTCCTTCACCCAGCAGAGCACAGTGTGTGCCCAGGACCTCTGTAGCCTTTCAAAGCCACCTCTTATTTCTAACCTCAAAATCCTGGAAGGAAACACCAAGGGACCTTCTCATCTCTTGCCCAATTTTGATTTCCCTCTGTTTCCATTCCTGCCAGACCTCCAAGCCCACCATCCCACTACACACTGCACTAAAACGTAACCAAAGAAAAGAAGAAAAGGCCTGAAAGGAAAAGCTGCTTTTAGTAAAGTGATCCTTAAGACAGCATTTATAAATTAATAATTTAGGGAAGGAGAGAGGCCAGGCCCTCCCCAAAGGTAGCTGGGTTTTGGCAGAAGAATGATGGAAGAGTGTCAAAGCCACACAAAGGTTGCGGAGAAGCCTTTGCTTCTACTCCTTATCTTTGCATTATTTTACTGTGGGCATCTCAAAGTGTAGTACCAGCCTAAACGCCCTCTTACCTCCTTCCCAAAGTGATGCTGTCCTGGTTAAACCACGACAGATGCTCACCCCAGGTGAAGCAGAGGTGAAGCATCATGGTGTGAAGAGCACAGCTCACACCACCTTCGTCCCCAGCACTGCAGCAGGGGAGGGCTCGGGCAGTGGTGTCCCTGTGCCAGGGTGCCCTGTGCCCGCAACAGGCTTAGAGTGACTTGTTGAAATACAGCAGGAGCCAAAATACCCGCCCAGTGCATCGCCTCCATGCCAGCATGAGCCCTTTGTCCAGACCCAGAGCTGCTCTCCTGGTATGTCCCTACCATCGCACCCTGGGGTGACCACGCACCCCCTGCCCTGTGCCCCCCAGCAATGCCCACAAGCTTTGACCTTAGCAGACACCACCAGCAAAGAGCGCTCACCCCAAAAAAAACTTTAATTCATGCTTACACCCACTAATGAAGGGCTCTGTCCCGCAGCCAAGCAAGAAGGCCAGACCTGTTTCTGCCAACCAAGCACCCCGGGATGGCCATCAAACCCAACCAAGCCCCTTGGGGACCACCAGTAACCTCCAGGGTCACCTTACCCCTTCCTTAAACCTGATGGTGCCCAGATGGTGGTGGCAGCTCCTTGCCTCTTCCAGGGGAGAGGTCTGGGGTAAGGGGGAGGGAAAGGCTCTTCCCTGCAGAGATGCTGATGCCCAGACCCACCTCGGTACCCAGCCCACAGCTCTCCAGGTGTCAGTGGTTTCTCAGAAGGATGGTGACACGAAGACCTAAACAAACAAACAAGCAGCTCCCTGCGTACAGGTGTTACCCTGGAATTGTATTTATTACTTTAAAAAAATTAAAAACCATAAATAAGAAGGAAGAACGGAGGCAACGAAATCCCTTGGACAGGTTCTGATGAACTCAAACACAAACCAACGCAACCAAATGAGGGGGAAGATAAAAGCAAATAAATACATAAATAAAATTAATAATATAAATAAATAATATATTAAACAACCCTCCCCACCTTGTAATGAAAACGTAGCTCGGAGAATGGGATCGACGCTTGTTAACCATTGTTAACTAGTATTTTTAGTCCTGACCGCTCTTAGGCTATGTATAGTTCCTTTTTTTAATGCATTTTCTATACATTAATAAAAGATACTGAAGGAGCAAGCCGTGTGCCTGTCTGGGAGTGGGGTGGGAGCGGGGTCCTGGTGCATTCAAGCCCAGCAGCATTGCAGCCCTGACCTCAAGCCAAGCGGGGACGAGTGTACCCTGTC